TGGATGGCAAGCTTGGCTTGGTTTGGATGTTCAAACCACTTGCATAAGCAAGTGGACGTCCAAACCTATGGGCCATAAAAAGATTTGGGTCATCCAAGCTTAAATAAGTCTATCATGACTTTAGCTAGTTACATCTCCCCTAAACTATTAATTACACCCTTAAAGAAAAATTGTACAAGGAAAAAAATTCCTATACTACTTGACCCAAAATATAAGGTAAAAAATAACTTATACACAATATATACAATAAAAAACTAAGCAACTGGGAGAACACATACTCTATGCTCATGAAACATATCCTCTCTAGTAGCTCCTTTAGCCTTTTGACCATAAACCTTATTAAGGGTCCAATGATCTTTAAGGATAGTCCTCCATCAGTGGTGGCCTTAGGTTCCCAGATCTTTGAAAGACTATCCAAGATCTTGAGATTACTTTGAGTTTTAGAGAACTTAGTTCCTAGATATTTTAGCCCATTGATAATAGTTTGAAATCTTCCAAACATTTCATCAATGGTTTCTTTCTCCTTCATAGAGAATAACTCATAGTGTATGAAGAGTAGCAACTCATTTGAACCTAACGTCTTTAGTGCCCTCATGAGTTACATTGATGGTTTCCCATATTTCTTTAGAAGTTTTGTAGTTGTAGAACTTGTATTCCATTCTTGACAAAAAAGCAAACCAAGATGTATCTTGCTTTGATGTTGAGTTGTATAGTTTGTTGTAGTTACCCTACGTGTAGTCACTTTATGCCTTGGTTACTACAACATCACCTCTTATGATGATCTTCCAAAGATGATATTGGGTGGACTTGATGAATATCTCCATCCCGTCCTTTCAATATGGACAATCTTCTCCATTAGAGGTTGGTGGCCTTGTAAGAGAAACTTCTTTAGGTGGGTATTGACCTTCACTACTTCCCATCTTAGGATTTTGTTTCTTTTATTCTGGTTAGATGCTCAACCTCATCAAAGGATGTGCTTTCCTTTGATACCAAACTATGAAGAAAAGAAACTAGAAACAAGATTGAATAGTGTTAATAAGAAAACCCAATTTTTTTTTTGAAATAGTGAAGTAGTTACAAAGCCTTACAAGTGTAGACAAAGAGTTAAGAGAAAAAAAACATGTAGTGTTTTTTATAATGGTTTATCTCAACCACCAAAAGTAGGTCTAGTTCTTAATCAACCTAATCAAGTTCCACTATCTCTTACAACGATACAAATATTCTTTTACAAGTCACTTTTGGCTCAACCTAAGTGTTCTTTGACTTGTCTCTTTATGCAACTATCCAAGTATTCTTTGAATACAAAGTTTCTCCAAGTTTCAATAACCAAGTATTGTTTTACAATTAAGCTTAACTCCAACAACCAAATATTATTTTATAGTCAAGCCTTTTTAGGCTTAAAACAATAATATAAAGTTAAAGTTGGAAAATCATTTTTTTGTTTTGTCTTACTATTAAGATGTGATACAACCAATTAAGTATAAAGTTGTTACAAAAAGAATGCATATAAATTTTTACAATTGTTGTTCTTTGTTTGCCATATGTGTGTATATATTCTTTTTGAATCTTCAAGCCCCTTTATATATGTGCTTCATGAAGATAATTGTTACAAATCCTTGAGCGTCTCTCATAGGTTTGTTTCGTCTATCTTCAACTTTGTTCCTTGTGCATGGAAGTGCCTGTTTATACATTAAATGTGGGCAATAAATGCACTCCACCAAATTTTCATTTCCTATCTAATTAAGGAAACTACTTATTACCTTTTTGACACCAAAAGAGAGGAGCTATTACATGTGTCGGTCAGAAACAACTTGTTTTTTAGACTTTGCTTGCTTTAAGGGATTTGCTTGTCCTTTCTTTGATGCAAAGCATGTCTATGTTCCTTTTTTATAGTTCGAGTACCAAATTTTTTTTTATTCCTTTTGATCTATTATGGAATAATATAGATAACAATGATTTGATTATCAGACTTCATAAATGATATAATTAAATATTTTTGCCTGACAAACAAAGTAATTTGTTTAAGAGACTTAATAACAAAATAATCAATTGTCTATCACTATTCATCTTATAGCGAATTGTCTAAACTATTCGTCTTATAGATGATTTGAATTTTTTTTTCTATTAAAAAATGTTTAAGTTTTTTTTATCATTAAAACTTACGTCTTAAGGAATCTAAAATCATCTTTTAACCTAATAAATTGATAGAAGGATTGCAAGAATTTTTTGCATGAAGACCATTTCGTATAAAAAAGACTAGTGGGTGATTTCTCATTTAACCAAATAGGAAATAGAAAAATATAAAATAGATAAAGGAAGTTGAACAAAAGGTCAACAACCAAATGAATGAAAATTATCTTATTTTCTAGCCATTGACGGTTGTTTTCGTCAACTTTCTTTATATTTTTCTACTTTGAAGTGTTTTTTACAACCATTTACCACCTAATTTTAGTCATTTAGTGCATTTTGCTTATCATTTATGTCATTCACCGTTTTGATACCTTGATGAGTTACGACTACCGAAAACTTCTTTGTAGTAGACTATGAATCTAATCAAGGAACATAATCCCTCCTTCAAGTTTATCACCTAAGTGAAAATCGTTTTAATATTAACCAACATAACGATCCATAGAATTTCTCACCAACAATAACAAACAAAGACATGCCACATTGTTATAAATAAAAAGCTAAAAAAAGACAACTTATTTTTAAATATTAAAAACAAATATTTTTATGTGTGTAAAAACTCAAATCTTCGACAAAAATACATGTAAATAGAGACCGATGAGACACAAAGTGAGTACTAACAAAAAAAATTATCAGCTTAAACCCCTTAAGTTAGTTTTTTTCAACAATTTCTTATTCTTATTTTTTTTTATAAATTATAAGTTACTTATTTGTAAAAGCATGTTATACAAACGTATGCAGACTAAATTCTTACTTATAAATAAAAAATCAAGCAACAAATAAATCGGTTAAACAAACTCTTAATCTATTTTCTTTTTGTGATATTTATTACTTAAATTAGATTCTTATCTAAAAAAATAATTTTATTAGAAAATAAATGAAAAAAGACAAAAATGAAACCATTGAACGCAAGACACAAAGAATTGCGTCACAGCGAGGACTTCTCTTTCCCATTGCCTTATCCTGTGGCAAGACAAACCTAGCATCTTCTGCTTTTTCGCGCGGTTTCGGTTTTTGGCAAAACGAAACTTCTACACACACCAAAATCATCATAATAATTTCCATACTCCTCATTTTACGTAACAAAACAACTTATCATTTCTGTGATGCAAGTATTTTTATTAAATAATATACTACAAACAATATTTAATTTTTTTACACTCTGATTGGACGCCATTTTGTTATGTGATAAATTATTATTTTTATAATAATTATTTGAAAATTTATATTAACATTAAATTTTAATTAGTTAATAATGTAAAAAAAAAATTATACTCTAAAATAATGTAAATAACTTATATTAACAATACGTATTCATTTATAGATTTTTAATTACTTTATAAAATATTAAATGAAAAATAAATATATTTAATGTCGTCTAAATATAAAACGCATTCAATATTTTTTATCAAAAAAATAAAAGATTGCTGAAAAAATCATATAAAAAGATTTAGTGTTATTCGTTACTATTTTTATTCTGTTCCCTTTCCGGAATTAAATTTTTAATTTAATAATAAATAAGAATACGTTTACTTGTTTTAATTTGTCTTCTTATTTTTAATTACAAAAATTATTATCTTATTTTTAATTTTCTATTTTTAAGATTTATACATTAAATAGAGAAGATCAAAAAAATTATATTTAGTGCTTTTTAGACTAAATTATACTTATAAATTTTTATCTTATTTTTATTTATTTATTTTGGTTATTAATATTTTAATTTTTTGTCAATTAATTTTTTAAAATAATAATTATTTTTAATTTTATAATAGGATTTTGAATTTTTTAATTTATTTATGACATAAAATTTATTTTATTAGATTAACTTTTATAAGTATTGTTGAACTAATTGATGTTCGAATTAAAAAAAAAATCATATCCATCATAAAAATTGAATGAAAATAAATCAAACTTGCTATTAGAAAGTTAAAAATAAAGTCTATTATTATATTATTTTATTTTTGTTGTTGTTCATAAAATTTATTTTTAATATAATTTTTATTATGCTTATAATATTATTTTTGTTGAAATATCAATTGGATTCAATAATTTTTACATAAATGTATGTAATTTTTATATTTTGAATTAATTAAAGAATAATTTAAAATTATATCATAAAATTAAAAATAATTTTTATTTTTTAAAGAATGAAAGATGAAAGATTTTAAAAATAGAATCAAACAATAATAGTTTATGAAAACTCCTCTCTTCCATTCCTTTCTAATTTTGATTTACATTAAAGGGTATCTTGCATAGAAGATAATTCTATTCAAGTCAAATATGATTATTATGGACAACAATTTAATACAACTACTTATTCAAAAGTTAAAATTCGAAATAATTAATTAAGCTAGAATAATACCTAGTAAGTTGACTAATATATTCATTTACAATTAACACTATGTTAAAAGTAGATGTTTAAAATAAATATTTTTAAAAAATAAGATACTAAATAGATCTTAAAAGTAAAATGAATAAAAATATACTTTAACTTAATTTTTATATAAAATTTTAAAAATAAATGACACTTTTTTCTTTTTACTGCAAGTATACGAGAGTTATAATCTAAATAAAAATAAAATAAAATAAAAGAATTGAAAACGGAAATTAATGGAACCGAGTCATTTTGATTTTCTTTTTCCCGGTAATTGGTGCCAAATGCAGGATAATCTTTTTCTTATTCTGAATAAGAAAATAATCTTTTTGTATTGTAAGTTTTGTGTAGGGTCCACATGATTGTCCCATCAAACTTACACGTGGCATCATACGCGTCGCTATCATGCGCCGTGCCGTTCTCTTTCCCTTGTTTCTTCTTTAATTTTAAGCCTTCCCCTCTCTTCCTTTTGCACCTTTCAGACAAGCCAAAACCATAGTTAACACTTAACAGAGCCTTAAAGAACCAAGCTTTCTGTTCTCTATAGCTAATTTACGTGCTGGTAATGCCCGTTTCTGCACCACTCAGATATTGTTTTTTCTTCGTTTCTTTTCACTTGTTGTGTTGATCTTACACACCTGCTAGCCCTGCTGATATTAAGGGAAAAAAAAGAAGCAAAATATAAAATTTTAGTTAGAATGGGTTGTGGGTTTTTTTTTTTTTTTTTTTTTTTTTTTTTTTTTTTCATTTTGAAAAGTGGGGTTGATGCTTTTGTAATGTCATGCTTTATATTATAAAAAGATTTAGTTCTTCTATTGATCAACTTTTTTTTTATTTTATATTTTTTTATATTTTTATGATTTGAACTTCTCGGGGTCCTTTTTATATGCATGTCAAATTTGATTCAGAAGGGTTTTTTTTTTCTTTTATTTTTTGAGGGAGGTACTCTTGATCCTCATTCTGTGATGATCAAGTTTGATGCTTGTTCATGTCATTGATAACCATGTGAAGGGTATTTCTGGAATGTTCAGAATTCTCAGATTAAAATTATTACATAGTTCCGTCACAAAAATGTTCATGATTACTGTTAATTATTATTATTATTATTATTCTCTTACTCTGGTAATAACATATTGCTTTTAATTAATTAATTTATGGTTTGTGGTTGTTATTGTTTTGCTACACCTATTTGTATACTTAAACAAGAGCTACAGCAAGGTTCTAGAACTTGTTATGCCTTATCCATGTTACTTGTGTGACGTCGCTTCCACTTTGTTTGTTTGTGAAAACAAGGGCCAAGAATATCTATCTGGCTTTGGTGGGAATGATTGGCAAGGAGAGTTTGAGAGCTGAAGTCTTGAACTTGAGCTTTGAGAAGCTGATGATGGTTGGTGGTTGTGGAGATATTTGTGTGAAAGGAGTGAACTTGAAAGCTGGGGTGATCACAGAGTGGAAGGATATTCCAGTGGAGCTTTTGATGCAGATTTTGTCACTTGTGGATGACCAAACCGTGATCATAGCTTCTGAAGTTTGTCGTGGGTGGAGAGAGGCAATTTGCTTTGGCCTTACTCGGTTATCACTGTCATGGTACATCATCTTTTTCCACCTTCCCTTTTAATGCTGTTTACCTGTTGAGGTTATGCTTGGAAGGCAGTGAAAATTGAAAGGTTTTTTTTTTTTTTTTTTTTTTTTTTTTTTTTTTTGGGGTTATCTCAATTATAAAATTGTTGTATTTTTTGGTTTTCTGATTTCAAACATTTGTGCTTCAAAGTTCAAACATTGTAAACGACAAAAGCATGTTTTTACCGTTTGGTTTACAAAGCTTTGTACACGACGTAGATGATATTCTTGAAATTATTTATAAAGTTAGGAATTGGAAACATGTTTTCTCAAACCTAATATGTCGTAAACATGATCTATTTATCAAAGTGTATGATTCTTTGTTTGAATGGTTTATTATATGAACACGAGTTGATTTTGCTTTACTGCAATCTTGATTCTGCCCATAAGTTTTAAGTGACCCATCTTTAACATGTGTTTCTGGATTACTCAAGTAGAGACTGTGGGGAGGTAGCAATCCATTTTAATTTCATGTTTGTTTTATATTTCATTCAGCAAGATGGATTAATTCCTATGTATAGAAGAAGGCAAGTATAATATGCATGTCATCGAAACTGGCATATTTTTCTTAGTTTAAGAGTGGACTGGGATTTTCTTAGAGAATGTAGTGTGTGCCTATGGGATATAAGCATTTAACTTTCTAAGTCAAGTAAGCAGGTGTTGTTGCATGGATTTTGTACTGTGCAGTGGTTTAAATCACAACTAGAAGTTGCTGGTATTTGTTTTAATTGGAACTGGGATTGCTTTGCTTGATGACTTTATATACTTGTTTCACTTTTTTTCCCTCTAATCTATGCACCCGTCTCAAAACTCTAGATGAAAACAGGGGCTTGATGGCTTTGCAAAGTCTTTATTGTGGTTCAGTGACACGAACTGGTTGTAGTTATGCAGTGTTAGTAAATTTGAACTCGTAGAAGAACTATTGTGTATGTGCTTTTTTTCTTTTTAATTTTTGGAGGGGGGGGGGGGGGGGGGTTATGTTAAAAACGAGCAATAACTTTTATTATGTAATACCTTTCAGGTGTAGCAAGAACATGAATAACCTGGTCCTATCCCTTGCTCCTAAATTCACAAAATTGCAGACTTTAATCCTTCGACAAGATAAGCCTCAACTAGAGGACAATGCTGTTGAGACTATTGCAAATTTCTGTCATGACCTGCAAATCCTGGACCTCAGCAAAAGTTTCAAGCTTACTGATCGTTCATTGTATGCTGTAGCCCTTGGCTGCCGTGATCTTACAAAACTGAACATCAGTGGTTGTTCAGCCTTTAGTGACAGTGCCCTGGCTTACCTTGCCAGCTTCTGCCGAAAGCTGAAAGTTTTGAATCTCTGTGGATGTGTTAAAGCTGCATCTGATACTGCTCTACAGGTATGATTGAGACTTGTTGGTTTCTCATCTTCATAGAAGAACTAAGATGGTTGAGTATTAATCCAATAAATAAATGAAATGCAGGCTATTGGACACTATTGCAATCAGTTACAGTTTTTGAACCTTGGATGGTGTGAAAATGTCAGTGATGTTGGAGTGATGAGTTTAGCATATGGCTGCCCTGATCTTAGAACACTTGACTTATGTGGTTGTGTCCTTATAACAGGTATCATTTAAAATCTAAGTAGTTTAATTTTAAATGCCAATTGGTCGCGGTATTCATATTTTTGTTGTTTTTCTACCTGACTTGTTTAATTTCATTACTCACAACTTTCATCCCCTAGTGTTCCATATTTGAGCTAATTCTGGGGCTTAGGTGGGTGCTAATGAGAGACATGCTGATATTAAACTAATTCAGTAGTTTAATGTTTAAGTGTTAATAAAAGGGAAGGAAGCAGCAGGTGGATGACTGTATATGTTCTAGACCACCATGCGTACATGTTTAAATGCACACCATCTCTTCTAAATAATCAACGTTATGAATGCACATATTTTTTATCACCAACAAATACCTGAGTTGTGTTTCCTTATAGTAAATTGATGAGGTTGCTTAACAAGTAGAGGCAACATAATGTATTTGTACATACGAAGGAGCCTGTTGCAATACACATTGGAAACTGATAGAAGACACAAGCTAATGAACAAAAAAAAAAAATTATAATTGAGCTAGTAGAAATTGAGGCTAGATATATGGAAGACAAATAGGATAATCTAGACCATGGTCACTTAAACTTTCCCTTAATCACTTCTTGGAGAAGGGTTAGTTTGGATTAACTTTTTTAGAATCATTTTTAGGAGAAGGGTGAGTTTGGATAAAATTTTTCCATAATCACTTCTAGGAGAAAAAAAATAGAAAGCAAAATTAAAATAAACTTCTCTATAAGTTAAAACTAGCTTATGCATGAGTTAAAAACATGATTTTGGAGAAGTTGATAAGAGAGATCTTTTACAAATTAGTTTAAGAAGCAGTTTATTTCATTATTCTTTTATAATTTTTCCTCTTAGAAGTGCTTTTGAGGAAGTTTTCCCTATCAGACTCATAGTTTAAATGCTTTTATGGTCTTTAGATTAACAATTTGGACTCTTGTTTTGTTATTTCAGATGACAGTGTAATTGCCTTGGCAAACAGGTGTCCTCATCTGAGGTCCCTTGGGCTGTACTACTGCCAAAACATCACAGACAGAGCAATGTATTCTTTGGCACAAAGCAAAGTGAAGAATAGGATGTGGGGGTCTGTGAATGGTGGAAATGATGAGGATGGACTAAGGACTTTGAACATTAGCCAATGTACAGCCCTCACCCCTTCTGCAGTGCAGGCTGTGTGTGACTCATCCCCTGCTCTCCACACCTGCTCTGGAAGACACTCACTCATCATGAGTGGTTGTCTGAATCTTACTTCTGTGCATTGTGCATGTGCTGTCCAAGCACACCGTGCTATTGGCACTCTCTCCAACATTGCTCATTGAGCTTGAAGGGTTGTGTATAAAGACACTTTGATTTTGACCAAGTGCTCTTGAAGGGAGAGGTTTAGGTCTTGTAGATAAGTTTCCTGTTGAATGCTGCATCATGTCATGTTGATTGTAGAACAGCTTGAACTTGGTGCTTGAGTTTCTTTTGGTCTCCGAATTTCATGTGAAAGCTTAGAATGTTTTGGGTGTATAAATGGGGCTTATGCCTAGCTTGGCTGTGAATTTATGGTGAGACATGGACTTCTATAATGGTATGGTTTTATGCAAAGATGTGTTTTATTCTTCAATTAAACATTAGAATTTGTTATAAGGGTATTGGGATTCCTTGGGACACCGTCATTCATGAATCTGGATGATTCAATTGCTGTTAGGAAACATGATTAAGAGGAGAGGAAGAAAGGAAAAAAAAAAAAAAAAAACCTAGAAGGTGGTTTTGCTCGATATGAGGAAAAATTGGGTTACATGAGTATAAATATGGCTTGTAAATTTTAATAATACTAAAATCTTAGATATCCAGCAGTTCTATGCAAAGCTTTGGGATAAGTAATATAAATAGTAAAACAAAATGAAATACAACGAAAGATGTCGGAAATGTGTCGGTTAAAAGGAATATAAAGACAAACAATTAAGACAAAAAAACACAAGTTTAACCAACAAGCAGATATTACAGCGTAATGCTTAATTACTCAGAAAAAATTGGCCTCCAAGTTTGTATGTTTCTCATTTTCAAATAAAATTGTGCGGGTAACGAAAATGAAGCAAAATACAATGAATTAGAGTTTGAATATTCAGGTGAAGATGTGATCTTATCACCAAAAAAGGAAGCAGGTTCAGATTATTCTAGAAAAAAAAATGGAGTATACAGAAAAGGTTTTGAATGAATGAAATTCAACTTGAAATATAGATGAAACACACATATATATAAATATATATAGAGAGAGAGTGAGTGAGTGAGTGAGAGTGAGGAAAAAGAATTGAAAGTATCTTTGGTGAAGATTTTCAACTCAATTTTGTCCAATAATATTTGGGACAGGTCATAAATCAACATAATTTTTTTTTTTTGGTGTGAATTCAACTCAGTTTAAGCTTGTTAGCACTTTGGTTTAGTTCATTAAATCAAATCACATGAATCAAGGTTCAATATTATTCTTGAATTTTATTGTTTCAAATTTTTAATTTAATAATAGATTTCAGAGAAAATAATTATTTATTTTTTTAAGACAAAAATATAAAGAAATATAATTTTAACTAAAGTTTGTATAAATTAAAACTACTTCACTTTCTATAAAATATAGAAAACTAAATTCATAATTATGAAATTTTAAAGTACTCATTTTTTTTATTATTATTATTAACTCATAATTAATTTTAAAAGTTTTTTTAAAATTTAATAAGTTGAAATTCAATAAAAAAATTAATTATATAAATTATATATTTATATATCTAGTTGATTTATGAATTAAACGAGTTAAACTATACAAATTCAAGATTAACTACTTTATTTATTAAATTTAATCTTTAGTTTAAGTTTAACTCATTTAGTTATAAATAAGATTAATAAATTAATTATTGAATCAAATTTTAAATTATTTTCTAGTTGTTTCGATGCATTAATTCTCTTAAGTTACATGAATATAGATGTAACTTATACAGTTATTCATTATAATACTAAAATCTTATATTTAATACATAGAAAATAGTCAACCACGTCATTTTGTAATATTTGAATTAATCGTCATGAAACCATGAAATTCAAGTTGGAATTATGGTGAGCACAATTTTAAGGAGCTTTGAAAATGAGAGATATTTAATATCATAGCCTTCGAGGACTTTTGAAGGGGTGGAGTGATTCATCCAAGCGAATCAAGTTGTTCTTGTATAGTAAATTACTCCTTCCGTTATTTTTTATATGTCACATTTTTTTTTAAATTTTATTTTTATTTATTTATCAATTTTAAATTTTAAGACAACATTAATTATCATGTTATTAATTATACCATTATATTTCACATAATTTTTAATTAATTTACACATCACAAGTTGACAACTAATATGCATTTATTATGAAAAAAAATATGAAAGAAGATATAATAAGAAATATTAAAATCATTCTATCAAAAATAGAAAAATTTATTATGTTTCTTAATTTATGTAAAACAACCTTTAAAATGACTATTAAAAAGAAACAAAGTAGTACTATTTAGTGAGGGTTAAAAATTTTGTAAACTATCTTAATCTCATCTTAAAAAAGTCACTGTTATTTTATTATTTTAGTAAATATTTTGAGTATATAATTTCAATTTTAAAAACGGTGACTTGTGTTAATTTGATTTTTAAAATTTCATTTTATGCATCATTATTTTTTGTTTCATTTATGTCATCTATATGCAATTCAACTCCTAACTTTGTATTTTTATTCTTTTTTTGTGTAACCTAAATTTATTAACTTTAACGATGAACTTGACTTAATTCAGGAATTGAATAATTTGAATTTTGTTATAAAATTCACAGAATAAAATATTAAGTAGATTCACGTTCATTTTGACCACTGGATAGTCTTGAAATTGATCATTTTTTTTTTGTTCTTTTGAGAAAACTTAAACTTCAAGAATATTTTACAAGTTAACCAACTTTAACGAAGCAATCATCTTCTACGAAGATAATCAACCCAAAGTTAATAGCAATTGAAAATTATAGAGTACGTCATATATAAAATACCATTTCATCATAGATAAACAGTTAATCTAAATAAGTAATGTAACTCGAAGCGTGTGGTTCAGCGGTAGGAATTGATTCATACTTAAGTAAGGTTAGGAGTTTGAATTTTATCTTGTGTATGTAGTAGTGTTAAATCTTGGAGTCAGCTATCTCACCCTTTGAAGTGTCTTTAGGGACGAAGCTAAAAAAAAAAAAGAAAATCACTAAATAAGTAATAACTTTTACATTTTCTTTCTTTTGGATTATTCTATTTCATCTAAGGTAACAATGATTACTAGAATTAGTCTTAGAATTGTAGTAGGGTCCACTGTAGAGTCTTTGGTGGTCCATTTGAACAATAAATTATGATGGTTATGTTGGACACTAACCAAAAAGTGAAGAATGCTGAGGTGTTAGAAATAGATATTGATAGCAACCATGGATGGTGTATATCAATTTTGACGTGGCACCAATATTGGATTTCCATATAGCATCGTCTTTCTTGCTTTTCATTTTTCTAATTCAACATTTTTTTTATTATGTATATTTCTTAACTATCTTTTTTTTCAAACTGTAAAAATTATTAAAGTAAATTTTATTTCTTATGATATAATACACATAATATAAAATTGATTTCTTAAAAATATATTTTAAAATTAATTATTTACTTTTTCAATAAAACTTTAATGATTTTCCGGCGGAAGTATAATACTTGTCGGCAAACAGCAGTGGCGGATCCGGATCCACAAGTAGTGGCATTATGTATAATGAGTTCAAATATAAAAAAAAATAAAAGAGGCAAAATATGATTTAAAATATTTATTTATAATGAGTAAAAATTTAAAAGTATGAATTTAAATGCATAATATTAAGGAAGAAAAATATAAAAAATTCAAATATTTATAACTATCTTTTTTCTTTTTTTTTTTAAATTAGAGTGTCCTTATACACTCTCACCACTAGGAATGACAAAAGGACATGGTAGATACAAATTTCATTATCCTGTCCTCATCTCTATTCTTGTATCTTATATCTATTCTTGTACTCATATTTGATATGTATAAAATTTGTGTCAGTGTCCTTGTCCTCGTTGGATATCGAGTATATCCATATTCATCCTGTACCAGCCTATAAATTAATCATTTAACATAAATTTAAAATAATAAAATTACATTAGTGTGAAGTAAATTTTTTAAAAATAAAATAAATTTCAATAAATTTAAAGCAGGTACAACTACAGAGCATATAAGTATATAACCATCTTTGTTCTCATACTCAATTTAATAAATCAAGTATTACTCATACATGTAATTATACTTGGTCAAACCGAATATTTCCTATCAAAATCGCTATGTGTTTGTGTATTATTTATGCGTACAAATTTACTTATCATCCCTACTCACCACCACGTAGGTCTGTTATTCCCAATCATATAAGTCAATATTTTAGCATGTATATTTTACAGGTTAAATGTTTATTACATATATCTAAATTTTATACACAAATAAATATTATATTTAAATGTATAAATTAATTTAAAATTATATAAATAGATATTTTTAAACATAAATTATATTTTTGATTAATGATAAATAATTTATTGCAACAAACAATTATTTTTAATTATTAATAATTTATTTTAAAAATATTAATTTTTAATTTATAAATAAATATGATAAATAAAATATCAATTAGATAAAAAAAAAGTAAAAAGAATCCATTAGAAAAATGTTTTGATCGAATAATAACTCATTAGTTTACAAAAATGTTGTCATACCTTAATATATAATTGTTGATTAATTGATATGAGATATTGAATTGTAGTCCAATACATAGAATTATATTAAATATGTAGAGTTATTCAGACAAGATTATGTTATATATATATATATATCACCTAACGTAGAGGAGGTGACAGAATCCAAATGTAAAAATAAAATAAGGCAAAACTGATTGCAATTGCAATCATTTTAAAAATAAAAATTGAAAATGACTTGAGACTTTTATAATCATAAGAATAGTAATTAATTAATATTTTAATTTGGATATTATATAAATTATCTAATTAAATTTTTAATAAAAATATTTTAAATATATAAAATATATGATTTATTTATGTAAACTAAAACAATCATTTAATATATGTAAAATATTGTTTAATAAAAGTATTTTTAGGAATTTTCTTTATTGATAATATTTTAAAGAATTTCTATTAGTCTTATTTTTATATTTATATTTAAATTAAAATTTAATATTAAAATAAAACATCAATAGTTAAAATAAATTGTATCATAATATAAACTATTCATCTTAAATATAAAATATAATTTATGTGTTTAAAATATTTATTTTATAAATTTTAATTATAATATAATTTATGTATTAAAATTATTTATTTATTATAAATTTTATTATATAAAATGAATATTTATTATACCTTATAAGTATACCTTTTCATTTGAATTCCTGAATGCGGTTAATATGTCATCATATTTTACTTAATAAAAAATCAAAATTAACACACTATATATTACAAATTATTTTAGTACATACGTACTCGCATGGCTGAACCAATTAGTTTTAAACAAAAGTTTTCTTTTAAAATCAAATCTCCTAAGGGTATTAGTATTTACAGGAAATTGAAAAACAGAGTCTGAATTGTAGACCTGAATAAGATAAAATTACTGAATTATTCGTTATTTTA